TTTACGCGGTGGTCCATTAGAAGAAGCTGATTAAATTACTCAGTGTGGGCTTGTTTCTGGATAATGTTCCAGACGGGAGTATGCATATCATTTCTATTCATAGGAATAGTTTCGTTCAAGGTACGTTAACACCCTTTCGATGTTCGCAAGACCTACAGCGTGCATCTAGCTATCGACAGGGGATATGAATACGCAAGCAGGTGAGTAATTCAACGCAGTCCTTGTTGTGATGGTAGCACTGACTGTGGCGCAGCTGTTTTCTTGCCAACATGACGATAGCACAGCTCCACGAGTACGAAAATGACCACACTTGCACTCACTTAGAATTCACGGGCTTTTCTCATTCACATACGGACTTGTACGATCGGAGAGTGGTTCAATCACATGTATCTTTGCTGCACCATTTGCCCCGCCCAGTATCTATACCACACATGACAATGCGGATTCATACCATCAGTGACATTAATCATTGTCCGTATTTCTGGATGCATTGTTCTCGTCTTCGTAGAACACTTGCTAAATTAATGTAACTATAGCTCTCGCTCACTCGGTTCACTGTTAATATAGCTGCGGCCTGCTCATGTTACTGGCACCTTTTGTGTCGACTGAGTTGGAGTTTGGAGCCATTCGACGAACTTCGTAACAGTGATCTTGGCTAGCGCCAATGTTCGAGCGCTGGTGGACTTCTGTTTTACACAAGGTCATGGAGTGTCAATTTCAGGTTTGACAGGAGTAGGGAAGGTAGTATATATATTTGGCATGTATTGCATTGTGTCCAGAATACTCAACGGCTACTGTACATACGGACCCAGTGACCGATATTTACGAAATAGTGTTGTGCGCAAAGGGATAATCGTGATATAGAATATGCATAGTGCAGACAGTACGGGTGACGGTGCAAGTGTAAATAGGAAGTCGTGTCAGAGTTCTTCATTTCGATTTACTTGCGGGCTGCTCGCCGTATAAGACCCGCAATGAGGAGGGTGCCGACTGCGGCTACACCGCCCGCAAGTGCCATACCCACGTATCCCTCTGCGCGCCCAGATCAGTAAGGCGTAAAAATACTCCAAAAAATGACGTACCTCGTGCAACACCCTTGTCTATCAGTGATGCTAGACTTTGTGCCTGCAGATTGGTGGGCTCCCGTGAAAGCAGGAGGTCTGCGCATCGAGTATAAATAACCAGGTAAGACAGTGCAAGGGGACGCATCCTCAACATACCGTTGAAGCTTCTTGCTTCTGTGAAGTTGCCCATCTTATAGTATCCAAGTGCTAGGTAGTACAAGCACTCTCGCCGTCTTGACGGCTCTGTCCGGTATATTTCTGTGCAGCGCCAAGTTAGACACCGCGGAAAGGAGACACCGAAGCAACACGAACCTTGCAGAAGTCGCACACCCTCAACCTGATTCTCGCGTACTGGGCTCTTCACTAGCCCCCATGCATAGTTAAATTTAGTCTGGACGGTGATGTGAGACTGCGCAAGCTCCTTCTCGTATTGCAGTCGAAGGACCTATATAACAAAGTTGTAGAAATGCCAACTTAAGTGAAGGGGAGTGCGTACCTCTATCTCGTCATAGGATAGTGAGACTTCGGCGTCAGCAGCGTATGGAAGGTCTGTAGGCATAGTAGAAAGAGTTCAAGCGGACAAATTATTGCCTGGAGTGCGCTACCGTTAGGTAGTGCTTCGGAGGACCCGGCTGACGTAACTTTTTCGCATCGCCAAAAGCTTAGACCCTTCCTTCAACACGAACCACATCGAGCAAAGACTCAAATATGGCAGACACAGCAGGTGAGTTTAGTGTCTCATTCTTCATGCGTCATTTTCACGAGTAGGCGCTCAAAAGCCGACTTGTATTCCTCGAGAGGCACTGCTGGAGGTACCTGTTCTTTGCTTCATCTTTTGCCTGGAATTTTTCCTGTGAAAGATGATGGTTCCATGAGAATCGTCCTCTTTTTGCCCCGTGTTTTCCTTTTTAGCTAGCTAGGATACAGCAAATGCACCTCCTCGCCGAACTGCTGATCCCGCCAGCAGCATCACACGTTACTCACTACCCATGGTTTTCTTCTTTCTCTAGAGCACAGCTTCCGTGAGGAACGCGACCGCCGGAGGCGTGATGATGGACACCGCGATTACAGGGACCGTGACAGGGATGGCCATGGCCACAGAGATAGAGGGGACAGAGACAGAAACAGAGAACATTTCGGTGATCGTCGAGACGACCGACGCCGTGACTTCGGTGGTCGTGACTTCGATGACCGCAGGAAGCGTGGCGGTGGTCACGACGGTGACCGCCGCCGAGAACACCGCGAAGAGAACCGCGAGTTTCGGCATGGCCGAGGTCGTGAGGAAGGATCTCCTCGCCGTAGCGGGCGTAAGGGACGGGATGGGCTTGGCACTCCGGAGCGAAGGTCCCCTACACCTGAGGGTGCGGTTCCTCTGACTCAGCGGAGGCGCAAAGCTTCTGGATGGGACGTTCATGCTCCTGGATACGAACAATATTCCGCCATGCAAGCCAAACAAACAGGTTGGTTGAAAATCCAGTTCTCCAAGTGTATCTAAATGTCACATTTTAAAAGGTCTTTTCAACCTTCCTGGAGCGAATCGCACACAAGTTCCTCCCATCCTCGGTATCGCTGGTTTGCCACCTCCAATTCCAGTCCAGACTTTTGGCATGGGAATTGGCAGCAACCCGAACTTATCTCGGCAATCCCGTCGCCTCTACATTGGCAGTATAACACCTGAGGTCAACGAGCAAAATCTTGCCGACTTCTTTAACAGCAAAATGATCGAAATGGACATTGGGACCGGTGGTCCTGGAAACCCTGTCCTCGCAGTTCAGTGTAATTACGAGAAGAACTATGCGTTTGTCGAGGTTTGTGCATCTTTTGGCCGGTGCTGAGCATGTTTGACCTCATGTCATTGTAGTTCCGCAGCGCAGAAGATGCAACGGCTGCTATGGCCTTTGACGGTATCATATTCATCAATGGTCCACTTAAAATTCGGCGACCCAAGGATTACGGTGGTGTTGAGATCACTGTTCCTAGTGTCCATGTTCCAGGCGTTGTTTCAACCAACGTCCCCGACTCTATCAACAAAGTGTTTGTGGGTGGGCTGCCTACTTACTTGAACGAGGAGCAGGTACAGGAGCTGCTCAAGAGTTTCGGCGAGCTCAAAGCCTTTAACTTGGTTCGTGAAAATGGCAATGGTCCATCCAAGGTATTCTTCTGCTTCTCAATCCTGATAACCTGTACCTAATCGTTTACATGAGCAGGGTTTTGCATTCTTCGAATATGTGGATGCCTCTGTTACTGACGTTGCCATTCAAAGCTTGAACGGCATGGAGTTAGGAGACCGCTATCTAGTTGTACAGAGAGCCTCGGTCGGCGCAAAACCTGGTACACCGGGCATGATTCCAAACCTTCCTTACGACCAATTTCCAGAGATTCCTCGACCCATCATGCCTGCTGGCGAAAGCAACAACGCCGATGCTCGTATCCTTCTCATGCTCAACATGGTTACTCCCGACGATCTCACCAATGACGACGAATATGGCGACTTGTACGAGGACGTCAAAGAAGAATGCTCCAAATACGGGAATGTTGAAGATCTGCGCATTCCTCGGCCAGTCAAGAAAGACAAATCGAAATGGGCTCCTGGAGAGCCTGGACAGCAGACTGCGATTGAAGCTCAGCGCGCAGATGAAGCGGCGGGTGTCGGCCGTGTGTATGTCAAGTATGTTGATGCCGAAGGTGCACAGACAGGTCTTAAGGCGCTTGCTGGGCGGTCCTTTGCTGGACGCTCTATCATCGCTACAGTCTTAAACGAGGATAGTCAAACGACGCCTCCACTTAACCTGATCTTTGCCCCTCAGCCAGATGCTCCTCCTCCGCTCCCCACCTCTTGATTGATCACTCCTGTTTGGAGGTCGGAAGTGATTATCTAGTTGCTCAGTCGTATGTACGTCCTGTACCGTTTCTGATGTTGTTCCGTACAGATGCTTTGATTTCATTCCAATGAAGTGCCCGATGGCGATACGATAATCGCTCCAGTGTTGCCCGATGGTCTCGCGGTGTCATTATAGAGGGTTTGATCGTTCGCTAGTCTCTTCATTCCGCTTGTCAAGCTCGGATTCTTTGAGTCCATTTTTCACTCAAACCTTTAGAAAGCATTCAATCACAGTACGTGAGCGAATGACATGCGCTGCCACCCTTAGACAGCACGCATCATCAATGTCATGTATCCTGTCGAAGAATGACACTGCTCAACTAATAGGTTACGTCAATCGCGTTCGGTGGTGTCCCTCCTCTCAATTGTAACGGTGGTAGATAATTACGGGCCCGTATCACACAGATAGTAACTAACGATGGCATATTCGCAAAGGTCATGCATCTCATTTCACTCGTAGTCGACAGGAGGTCTGCCATGTCGCACCACCAGTGATGACTAGTACTTCTCGACAGAAGCGTTGGCTGCAAGTATCAGGGTGGCAAATGCGGAATGGCCATCCCAAAGAACTTATGACTTGCTTATCGTGTGTGCCTCGACCATCACTATCATTTTGTCGGCTCATCCCTCCCCTCTCTCCACCACATGGCTGCTTCGGCGGGATTACTTCTTACATGGTAGCGGCATCACAAAACCACGTTCATCAGGGTTCCGTGTGGGTTGCTGTAGACTCGTGCGCTAAGATAGCTGGCAGGAATGATACGCATGTGGAAGGCGGCCCCACTCCGGAGCATTTGCAGCTGGAGGCGCGCAAGGGGACCTGAGCGTATGTACTCTGCTCTAATTCTGTTAATATATAGTGGTTGATTTTACAAGCACGTGACGAACGCGTCGCGATCGAGTCTGTTTATCTCCCGCATACAAACTTTAATTCTCTAGGGAAATTCCAGGTGTATAAATACGGCGTTGCCGATATTTCTCTCTCAGCTTATCCTCGTCTACCTGTACCAGCATATTCTTACGATCTTCATTCTTCTCAACCACCATCTGCCATTATGACACTCTCTACAGCCATGACCATCACTGCCCGCGTCGCCGTCACTGGCTTCCTTTCGGTCTCTTGCTTCAAACGGGCTGTCGTCGACAATACCGCTCAGGTCCTGTCTAAAGCAGAGAAGGCTTCCGCTGGCCTCGTTGTATACTCTGTCTGCTTGTCGACGATTACGCTGGTTCTCGCCGCCGACAAAGCTGCACAGAGGATCCTCAGCAACGAGCCCAAGCATAGGCCCGCCACTTCAAAGGACGACGACTCTCTTCCGTCCATTAATGACACCACCACCTCCCTCGCACCTCAGCCTCTCGAACCATCTCATTTGCAGCCATTTCTGTCTCCATCTCAATCGCATTTAATCGAATCGGCGGAAACAATATCCGTCTCAATTTATACTTGCGCGCCTAATGAAAAGACCACTGTAGAACCTTATAATTTGCAGCCATCTCTGAATCCATCTCTATTGCGTTTAATCGAATCGACGGAAATAACGTCCGCTCCAATCACGGGTTCTAATATTTGTACGCCTTGCATTACTCCCACTTCACCGGACCTCTACTGCAAACGCCTTTCTATCGATTCCAGCACCACTCTTGTACCCCATGACGACGACCCGGTTACTCGCGTCTTCTCGGACGATGATGCCTCAGATGCCAACGACTGTGAGCCGTTTTGTGACGAGAGCACTATCCATGAGGTAAGACACAGCATATCATCGAACTCCACATTACCTGACGTTCGAATCTCTAGGACGATCGTTCTGAACCGCAGCTTCAGAAGGACCATGCACTAGAACCTATGTTTGTCACTCTAATTGCCAAAATGACAGCTCTCACTCTCGATGACCCGCCTCGTCTTTCCAAGCTTCGACCACTCATTCTAGTCAATCACCGCCACAATGTATCTACCGTCCATTGTGTTCCGCTTCCTGCACCCGCATATTCTGTGGACGCATTGGCCCGACGTTTGGAGGCGCGCTCTCTCTCCGATACTCCATCTACCGATCCTGGCGTCGTTTTTCCTGGACCCAGCTGTCCCATCGGTGCGCTGTCTCTCGGAGATCGCCCGGCATCCACCTCGAAGCTGAAGCCTCTGATACTAGTCACGAAGCACGCCACCCCACACTTCAAGCTGGCTCCTCTCGCAACTAGTCTGCTTCGACATCCACGCGGAGCCAAATGTATTGGCCTTTCTCACTAAACCCTACGGTCTAGGCACACCCTCACCCCAAGTGATTTAAGACCACCTCCGCGCTACTGATAACACAACTACCCTCCGATATCAGGTCCCCTACGACCAATCTAGACGACGGCCTCCTTCTGTCCCCTACGACCCGGAGCTTCACCGCCCAAGAAGTCGAAGGCCACTTTCAGTCTACACATACTACACCACGTCGCGATCGACACCAGAGGTCCCCTGCGACCCACTTTTGACGACAAACTAATCGGTCTTCACTACCCCCTACCACACGACATTCTACTATATAGGCCACCGCCACGCTCACGCACGCATCTATAAGAACAGGTTGCTTCGCGTTTCTTGATCTGTATTCTCACTCGACTGGTCAGTTTCATCATAGACTCATCTCTGGCATGTAGGGTTTTTCTTACTTCGATTTGTTTTTCTCTTGACTTTTACGAGACAGACGTCGAACTCATCACGGACTTACTTCGCTAGCATGTATCCTTTCATTTCCTTCTTTACAGAGAAGTCTGCTTCGATTTGTATTCTCATTTACCAGTACGACACTGGCTCATTTAGCTTCCTTATCTCATACTTATTTCATGGACTTGTTACATTCATTTTGTACATGCAATGATGCATGGTTAATAGTATCCGCTTCGAATACAATTTGTGTTCTAAGGACTTGCTTCGGGCTGTAGTTGCATATGTGCCCTTTGTTGCTGTTAAAAAGGCCTGTCGTGCGTACTAGAAAATTTGCGTCGTCTTCACGATAAATCATGCCGCGCAAAAAAACCGGCTCCAAGTAAAAATGACGATGTGCACATCAATCAATATTGTGCCAGGCACTTCGACGCAGTTCATATAGGGGTAGGTCGACCAGCTCTACGATCCTCACGTCTCTGCTCCAGCTAGAACATGGTCAGCACAAAGGTTTCACAGACTTGATAGGGATACCAGTTTCTCACCCACGCCTTCTTACAGTCCCTGTATGCCTGAAAGAAGTCCATACAATTGTCCCGATTATAGTCGTTCCGGTCCATGCAGCTTAAAGATGCTTTTGCTGCTTGTTCGCATGGACTGAGCACCGATACAACAAGTTTATTGAGGAAGGAGGGTGTGCAAGAAGGAAACGCACTCTGTATGTTGGGTGTATGATTGTCGGGCCTGTCATTACCGTGAATGCGGTCGACTAGTTTGAGATGACATGCGGGAAGGACATACAGCAAAAACATCTTTATAATCCGCAGGCTTCACATTATACTGTGGCGAATTCGAAGGCGACGGAGTAGGCATGACAAAATATTGTGCAAGAACCGTACAAAGCGAGGCAAATAACTTCGTTGACAAGATGTTGCGATGTCAAATAGTCATCGTGTAATATCTCAGATCTCAGGGAATATTAATGATTTTTTCGGTGCTCTTATTTCGCAGTATCACAGATGGACTATCAAGGATCATTGACAATCCAAACCGATTGTGATACGAACTACAACAAGTACTATAATCTCCTAAGCTTGATCTTCCACTGTTCCAAAGAGAGATATTGATATTTTGCATCATAAGAAAAATGTTTTTCTTGTCGTCTCAAGCTCAGGCTACAGAACAATTAGCACAATGTTCGTGAACAAGTGGACAGCATGTTACCTTCCAACGCCAGATATATTCGTTATCTTTTGGAGGGTTGCTCACTGGAACGGGCTCATGCGGCCTCATCTCCGATTCCTCGTCTTGTTCTGGCATGGGCGTTTCTTCTGGAGGTCCAGGCAACTCCTCGGTTCCGACACTGATCTCTAGGGCATCCGGCGATGCCCCAAAGTTTTGAACTGCTGGTAGCCCTCTTTTGAGCCATCGAAGTTTCAGAGTGAAGCGAGGCCCGATTTCTTGCAGAGCAACTTTCTCAGGCGAGCGAAAAGCATACCTAATCGTTTCGGTTGAGAAGCCTATTCATTCAATTCTTGTGATCTCCCTTACCGATGACGTCTGAAAAACAAAAAGTCACGCTGGTTGTGAAGCGCGACTACTTGTCGCCCCTGGAATTCAGGTAATGGCGGGAATAAAGTCTGGAACATTCGTCCAACATTGTGTCCCAGAGTAGTTGAGAAATTATTGAGAACGAGCTCGGGGTTGTGTGGCGTTGCTCTTGCGTGACCCTGAATACAGGTCCGTTATTTCTGCACCAGTGATAAGATGGAAGGCGAGCTCACATATATCTGTTTTGTGAGTTCTATAGATGTAAGTTTGAAATAAGCCATAGGACCATTAGGGAGATACACCAAGGTGATAGCGTCTGGACAATGCATCAGTCTTCCGTAGCAAAGATGGCCGAGACAACAAACTTGGCTTCTTCATATCCTCATTCACAACAAGCAGATGCTTATAACCACGGCCAGCAGCCCAACCGGCTATTCGACCCATCTCAAAGCCTTTTCCCTTTTTCCGCCGTATAAATTCGGCACCTGGAAATACTCCTACTAACTCATCACAAAACTCATAGGTGCCCTTCGATGCTTTTGCAGAGGTTGTAATGAGAACCTTCGGGGGGATGGTTGGATCCTGCGTGAAGTTAAAATAGTCCGCAAAAGGATCGGATGCGATATCATTAGAGAATTCCACATGCTGGGCAGACGAAGGGCCAGCTGCAGAGAGCATAGCTGGGTCTGCCTCGCGGGTATTATCGAGCGTGCGAGGCACATTTTCTGAAATACGTTTCTGATGCAAAGTCAGCTGCGAAAGGAGGTACAGATGGATCGTTACACGTACTTTCTTTGCTGCCGGGTCATTGGCTTCGACCTTGGCCTGATCAAGCCTTTTCTGTAGTTTTGCCTGGTTTTTGCTCTTTTTCAGCTTGCGCGTAACCTCTTCTCTTTTTATCTTGTTTTTGATAGACGACGGTTGAAAACGTGCGGGAGCCATGGTATGAATGATGAAATGATTCGCAGGACGTGAAATTTCTGAGCATGCGACACGTGACCTCCAATCTTCTTCCTGAACTTCATCCGCTCACCGAACAACATGTTCGCGTTTCGCCTCTCGGTGCTTCTGCCATTTTTCTTTCTCTTAATAACGACAGTCAATGCCCTTCATTTTTACTTGGATGCAAACGAAAAGCGATGTTTTGTGGAAGAGCTACCATCAGACACGGTGGTCGAGGGTAAGCGTCTTCGTCACCGGTCAGGAGCAGCTCGAATGTCTTACCTTGCGTCATAGGGCACTACAGAGCATTAGAGTGGAGTGACGGCACACAACAATACATTCTGAATGAGGAACTAGGTATCATAGTTGAAGTGGAGGTACGTCCCAAAGGCGCTTTTACGACAATACGTCTCATACGCAGTTTCTGCCAATAGGAAATGGAAACATCACACGTCGTCACAAAGACGAGAGGTCCATCTGACGGTCGCTTCACGTTCACATCCCACGAAGCAGGGGACCACTCCATTTGCATCTCCACCAACTACACGTCATGGTGGTCAAGCACGCACATCAAGCTCTATCTCGACATCGTCGTAGGATCCACGAAACCAGACATCGAGAGCGACCGTACTCACATCGGCGAACTTTCCAGCAAACTTCGCGACCTCAACCAAAAACTTGACGAAATTCGGAGGGAACAGCAGTACCAGCGGGAGAGGGAGGCGGATTTCCGAAACTTGAGTGAGAACACAAATTCGAAGGCTGTTTGGTATAGCGTGTTGCAGATTGGAGTGCTTATTGCTACGTGCACGTGGCAGTTGCGACATTTGAAGGTGAGTGACGCGGTGTGTTTTTCTGCGTGCTGCGAGTTAATGTGTGTCTTCTTAGCGTTTCTTTGCGGATAAACGATAGCCTATGATATTATAATGGACTAGCGGTCGTTTTGAGATTACCGATTTGAACCTGCCTGCTGTCGCCGAGCGGATCGAATTCAAACGAGTTAGTCGCCATGGACGTTTATACACGAAAAGGCAATGAAATGTTAGAGAAAGTTCAAGGTACCTGGGGCTGTGAGATTATTGACATTCACCTGCAATGCTTGGCATATGGCATTTGGCTTAGTAGGGCCCAGTTCAACTGTTTGGGATATGTCAGGCACATGCGCGATCATTATGGACACTGGCAATATCACAGAGTGCCTCTGCGTTTTCTCTGATATAGTTTGACATGAGAGGGCCGCCAATCATGTGCCCAGTGTACTTCATAGTACATACGCTGTCTTCCTGGCACCTGCGGCTGCCTATAAGAGGACACTAAGAACACCGCTATAAACGAGCAAACGAATTTGATTGGTTGACACTACCCCCATTAAAAAATGAAAGGTACCACGCGCTGCCACCTGGCAAAGTACATGTCCAGGTGGGTTCTGTCTCACACGTTCCTGAGCTGCCATCTGGGTGTGTGCAATCAGTGAAAGCCCGAGCGACCATAAAAAGCTCGATGTTCTCAATTCCAGGACCGAGTGTCGACGATCGCAGTACTACTAGAGACACTATGTCCGAGTCTCTTGATCACAAGCGCGATTTTGAGGATACGGGATCAGCGCCATCAGCCGTAGACGCAAGCGACCCCCCGCGGAACTCCGTTCGCCCTCCGATCGACTATTCTTCTCCAGCTGCTTTCACGAGCAGTTCCTGGGCTAGGTGGAAGAGTTTATGGACTAGGCGCTTCACACTCTCGTTGTTGGCTGGACAGGTGGTTTCTCTGTGCATAACAGTGACCAATGTCACGACGACAGAGCTGGTGTCTAGGAATTGGTCGCTGCCGACTACACAGACATGGTTCTTGTGCGTGTCTTCATTCTTGTGGTTATCTCAGGCTGTGACGCCTATATTTGTTCTTGCAGGTACTGTTCGTTATTTCTCGTTTACACGCCGTATACGATATATAAATGTGAGTATGTCCGTTTTGTTCTTGGTCGATGTTGACGACAGATGAATATTGAAGATGGTCTGAAGGGTTGGGGTCAGATGATATATAGGGACGGGTGGAAATGTTCGTGACATCATTATCATCCCCGCCGGTAAGAGATTCTGACACCCTACAGATTTCATCCTCGCAGCCTCTGATGTGGAGGGTAACTTCTTAGTCGTGAAGGTAAGCGTATATCTCCACTCATTTCGATCGCATTAATTACCGTGTCTTATCGAACAGGCATACAACTATACCGATCTACTATCTTGCATGCTTCTCGATGCGTGAGTCGTACTCAGCCGCTTATATGTATACTGCATCTTACAGAATCTGTCTTAGTTGGGCCATTCCTGTTTGCCTGTTCTTTTGCTGGGTGTACATGCGTTCGAAGTATCATTGGACTCAGGTGTTGGTGAGGAATCATCAATGTGTAGCTATTTCCATGTCTAAATAGGTGCACACAGGGCATCCTAGTGTGTATCGGAGGACTCGGCCTGCTAGTATCTTCAGACATGCTCACAGACAAGAACTACCCTGCATTAAGCAAGGGAAAGGGCGACGCCTTCATGATCGTTGGAGCGACACTGTATGGCTTTAGTAAGTTATTCTTCGGGCGAACAAATTGTCGTATTGACGACGGTCATCAGCCAATGCCACAGAAGAGTTCTTTGTGAGGAGATCGCCGCTTTATGAGGTGAGTGAGGCGTCTTTGATGGAGGATTGCGTATCTTACCCTGGCAGGTCGTTGGCCAGCTTGGTATGTGGGGAACCTTGATCAATGGAATCCAGGCTGCTAGTTTGGAGCATGTGGATATGACTATGGCCTCGTGGAATGGTGCTACGAGTGGGTCGTTTTTGTATGGATATAATGTGGGTTTTGGCTGATTGGGTTGTTCAGTTGGCTTTCTTGCTGCTTACACAGCTGGTTGGTTTCTCCCAAATCTTAGCTTGATCCTTATGCTGACACTCGTTGACAGCGATGTTTATCCTCTACACGGTTGCTCCTCTGCTATACCGCATGGCGTCGTCACCTTTCTACAATATCAGTCTGCTCACGAGTGACTTTTACGGTCTTATTTTTGGTACGCTACCATCCTCTTTGCTACTTCTCTTAGGATGACTGATGATTGTATGTCAACAGGCCTCTTCCTTTTCGTGAGTGTTACGTATCTGCGAGGTTGATGTGCACTTATATTTTTGCAGCACTATTCGCCATACTGGCTATACTTCCCTGCTTTCTGCGTCGTCGTTGTCGGCCTCATCATCTACTTCTGGCACGCTACGCGTAAGTGTCTTAGTTGTGTATGTCTGAACGGTCATTAATGCGGTAAATTAGCTGAGGAGCAGGGTAAAATCGAACCTCAAGCTCCGGCATATATCCGAAGGATGCACATGGATGACCAGGTTTAGCTGGATACCTGCATTGATACCTTTATGCGATACTTTTAAACGATTGGTAAAGAATGAGCGTGCATCATTATATAGCTTAGTTATAATCCCAAAATCCAATTGAAAGGATAATGAGGGAGGGGTGATGATGTACAAATGTAGTGTACAGTTGTTTGATTTAAACAAATCGACGAGGTTCTTTCTTTTGCCTCTCGAATTCTTCCTCGTAGTTTTTTTGTTCTTGTTCGCGTTGAGTCTTGTGTTGGGCGAGTTTCTGCAGGTTGATGTTGAGAAACTGGATCTGGGGAATGAACAGGAGGGCGTACGGTTTTCAGTGCTTCAACGGTAGAGACGATGGACTCTAGAGTGGATTCAGACATATCGAGCATCTTTAAGAAACAGATATGAGGAGAGAAACTGCATATCATTTCGTTCAACTCACCGCATCCTCGGCGCGCTTCTGAATCTCCTTGAGACGTTCCTTGTCCTCCTCCCACTCTCGTTGATTCCAACCAGCGGTTCCATCAACATTGCGGTTAGGCTGACTCCTATAGATGAAGTTCCACCTATGTTCCTGAGGTACTGGCCCAGGAGCGTCAGGCTTGGAGTAGACAGGGGGAGTAGATTGTTCGCCGCTCCCTTCTACGCGAGGTGCTTGCATGACGCAAGGAAAGTACTGTGCACGGTGTTCGCGCATATGGCGACTGCAATTCCAGAAAGTAGCAGTACCTGCGCCGAGGATGAACCAGACGATGCGCGATGGACCACGGAAGTAGTAGCGGTGATGGTAAGGGTACATGTTAGTCAGGAGGAAAGATGATATTGATCAAGTAGAGAACATCAGAATGGGTGCAGCGATTTATATACAGTCTCGAATACTGTACATGTGCGCCGTCATAGTCACCGTCGACGAAATCACTCGGCCTCTGACGCACATGTTCGGCGCCTGGGTCATCCATGACAAAGCCGATTGGCTCGGACAAAGCCGGTCCGGCAGCGCAAGGACGCGTCGCGACTCGGCAGACATACCTGTACCCTTCCGGGAATTAATCCTGCTATTTCGATTGCTACTGTGTCAGTTTATGATGCCCAGGGCAAGGTTGACTTTAAAATTGCTCGTACGAGTAGTATTATGTGCTGCTTTCCTTGCGCCTCTGAGACCTTTCCTTCAACACTGCATAAGCCGTCATCGATCAATTTCAAAGAGTCTGGAATCCAATTCACGTGAAACATTTGATTTCGGACAAGTGCGTGATTTCTGTCACGACCGCGGCAGGCGCGGCAGGGCCGCGTCAATTTCACCTGGCCCTCGGGCGTACTAAGCGCTCAGTGCATGCCACCTATTTTGAAACCGCCATGACATCATGGTCGAATGGAAGAAGGTGCCAGTGGTGGTCCAAACGTTCATGAGTAGGCCGTTTAGTGGGTCAGTGAAAACCCAATATATACTAGTACACTACCATGACTACTATGACAGTGTGCAAAACAATGAAAATGATGCAGCAGTACTAGTACAATTTCAATGAGGAAGAAGACACGTAGTGGTAATACAATTTGGGGGGGAAACATGTAAAGTGCGATTTGAAAGACATCAAGAATTTGCGCGAGACACAGAACGAGACGTGCTATGAGACCCTGCCCCTCTTGCTCGGTCCAGGTCTAGATGGACCCGAGACCTCGGACTCGGACTCATCGGCAACACGCTTGAGGAAGCTGCGGTGCCATGAACGGTACTGATTGAATCCGGTCTGCTTCATCGCTGCCTGCAGGTCCGTGGTGCACTTGTTCCAATCGAGCAGCTCCCTTGGTGGAGACCAGTCCCTCATGGCTTGGAGTGAGTCGCTGGAAACAATCGAACTGATGAATTTACAATCATCAGTAAAATAGCAGTGCTTACAGGAGCGTGTCGTCATCCGCGTGCTCAGTCTCTAGGTGTTTAACAACCATGTCGCGGACTCTCTCCAGCGTGTGTTGGAACATATTTTGAACTTTGCCGAGGGCCTGCTCGTTCTGGTTGGGGTAAAGTACCTGGCAGTGTGAATGGTCAGCATCAGTATTAGAAAGATACAAGGGGCACGTACGGCACTCGCATAGTAAGCACGATATCGAGAATTGAGGTTCAATCTCTTGTTAGGAGAACGGATCCAAGTGGTGATGGTGATCGTCGCAGGATGGAACCATGTATGAGAGTGCGACGCTAATGCACCATTTTCCGACCGTGTCAACTCCCGCATCTGAACTCCTCTCCGATCCAGCTCCTTCTCGACACCCCATTCATACGTGGGTTGAGCGTGCTTCTTGGATTCAGTGATGTTGATATGAGTGGCGGCCAAGACGTGCTCGTTCCGATTGGCAAACTTCTGCAACTTCGTGACGGCGCCTTCAGCAGTTTGGGAGACGGACACCTCGAATGGCCAGTATGGACGGATGTCGGCATCACGGGTCTGGAACATTAACACCATGTCCGGTACTCCAAGGTGATAACCCTGAGTCTCATCCCGAGGAGGGAGTTCTGCGGTAGCGGGCGTGTCTACCATACACCCCATATGGATGGGTAAGGAAACCTCAAAGTCGTCAGGGATGGCAAGAGACTCGATGATGATCCCCATCGCAGTGCGCAAAGGCACAAGGATCGACTCGTGTATTGGGGATGGCAGGGTGGCAACAATTTGGTGGAGGCTGGGGATGTATGATGGTCTGAAGCAAAACACAAAATCAGTTCAAATTTGGAAAAGGACGAAAAAACTCACTTGCGAACTAGTTTATCGTCACATCCAATGGCATCCAAAACATATACATAATCATCTTCTGTAACATTCGAAAATACCTACCACGGCAATCAGCCTGA